GAATGAAAAAGGGTGGGAGAAAAACCAGAGCATGAAACTGTAGTGTCTTCATGGTCTCAGAGGACACCAAGGGCAATTGGAAAAACAGTCCACAAAGACAGTGACCTTCAGCTTTGGTGAGTAGTGACGGGAGCCTTTAAATGGCTATCTGGGGTACAGCAGTTGGTCTCTCTTGTCTGGAGGAAAAACAATGAAGAAAATTGGAGACACATGGAAACAATTATTTAGTCCAGTGGACTAATGAACCACACAATTAGAAGTCTCCATGCCCATCTAGAAGAACTAGATGGCACCTGCATACCTCTACCAGTTGCTTTGAAAAATATCACATTGGATGGTTCTGGATAGAGTGGGAGAAAAATGTGAAACAAAGACTCAAAATCATACAAGAGACCAGGCATACTATTGGATAGAGACTGGTAGAACCCCCAAGTACATAACCTCTTCTGTGGCTCAATATTAGGCCAAACAAAACACAGGCTTGTAAGGTAAACAATAACACTCAAGAGGTGTGCACTCCTCTGAACACTATTTGAGCTCAGAAGACAAGATTGATACAAGGAAAAAGTTCAGAAAAATGAAGGAAGAAGGAGGAATTGAAACTGAAAACAGATACAGGAAGTGGATAAGTGATGTTATACTGGAGGAACTACAATCAATAACATGAAATAAAATGTGTATAAATTATTGAATGGAAAACGGATTTGCTCTGTGACCTTCACCCTCTTCACAGCAAAAAGCTAATAAAAAGAAAAGGAAGTGTAGTGTCCAGCAGCCAGGGGTGGGAGTGCTTCAGAAATCATACGTGATTAATAGAACATTTATCAGACACAGAAGGGGAGTAGTGTTGGAGATTGAAAGGATTGCTTTATTTGGTATGTAGAAGTCCATGGAGAATTTTTGGCAACAAACAGAGCAATTTCAAAGACAGGGGCTGAAGAATGAATGGATGAGTGCGTTGTAAAGAAATCATAGATTGCAAAGGATCAAGGAAATTTTTATTAGGATGAGGGAATTCCTAGAGAGGCTGCAGTGATATCTAAAAAAAAAAAGTGGAGGGTGGTTTATAGGCTCTAGTCCTAATTTTATAGAATAAGCATTGGATTGCTAACTGCGAGGTCAGCAATTCAAACCCATTAGTCTCTCTGCAGGAGAAAGATGAGACTCTCTGCTTCTGTAAAGATTTACAGCCTCAGAAACCCTATACAGGGTTGCTATGAGTCAGAATCAACATGATGGCAGTTCCAAAGTGAGGTAGAAAGATAGGATAGAAAGAGAGTTTGGTAAAGGAAAGGAGTACGATTTTTTTTTTTTTTTTTTTTTTAATGACAGAAGAGAAGTAAGGGGTGTAGAGGTGGGGAAGGAAGGATAATAAGAAAAAGTGAGATCTAATGAAGAAAATGGAGTCCTGGTGTGGTGCTGTGGGTTAATGTGCTGTACTACAAAATTTGTTAGAATTGCAAGGTTGGCGGTTCAAACTCACCAGATACTCCTTAGAAACCCTACACAGGGTTGCTATGGGTCGGAACTGACTGAATGACACTTAGCAAGCAACAGTGAAGGAAAGGGAGTCCTAGTGTGGCACTGTGGGCTAAAGCACTGGACTGCGAGGTTGGTTTGAACCACAAGATTGGTGGTTCAAACTCACCAGCATCTCCTTGGAAACCCTATGAGGGTCTCTATGATTTGGAACCAACACAACAACACTTAACAACAGTGAAGGAAAGGAATCTTGGTGTGGTGCTGTAGGATAAGCACTAGACCTCAAGGTCAATTTGAGCCTCAAGGTGGTGGTTCAAACCCATCAGCCACTCCTCAGAGACCCTGGGTGTACAATGTCACTATAAGTTGACACTAACGCAATGACTCTTCACAGCAACAGCAAACGAAGGAAAGATGAGAAAAGTATTATTTGAAAGTGTTCAGGGGAGCTTTACTAGCCTTCTATAATATGTTTTTACATTTCCAAAGAGTCCTGAATTTTTCCTTCAAAACATTCATTATGCTTATAATTGCTTGTTTCATTTTTAGTTTCACCACTAGATTACAATTTACTCTTTGAAATGGTCTGTCACCATGTCTGTCTTGTTCCCTATGGAAGCTTCAGCACATAGAAAGAACTGCATGCTTGATACATTTAAAGGCTCAAATAAGATTTCATATGTGAGTTCTAGATGACATCGTAGACCATAGCCATTTTGTTCATCTTTTTCTTTGAATTGCCGAACAACACCTGATGTAATAAAAACTGGACAGATGTTGCTAAACAAATGATTCTATTCATTGAGATAGAAAGTGAGCTCATTTATTGCTGTGATGCTAATGAAAATTATTTTGAATTCTACCTATACACTAAGGAGCTCTGGTAGTGTAGTGGTTACGAGTTGGGCTGCTAACCTCAAGGTCAGCAGTTCGAAACTACCAGTGGTTCCATGGGAGAAAGATGAGGCTTTCTGCTCCTGTAAAGATTTACAGCCTCGGAAACCCTATACAGGGTTGCAATGGGTGGGAACCGACTTGATGGCACTTAACAACAACAACCTATAGACTAGGCACTACATTGAATGCTTACCTTCTATCTGATGTAAGAAATAAACAGCAGAATTTCAAAGGGGTGGTGGTGACTCAGTGATGGAATTCTTGCCTTTCATGTGGGAGACTTGGATTCAATTTCCTGCCAATATACTGCATGTGTAGCCACCAGTGTGGTGGTTTGATGCTACAAATAGGTTTCAGCAGAGCTCCCAAAGATAGACTAGGAAGAAAGACCTGGTGACCTGTTTCTGAAAATCATCCATTGAAAACCATATAGATTACAATGGTTTGATCCTGTTGTGACATGGGGTCACTATGAGTTTGGGGCTGACAGTGATAGCTAACAATATCAACAACACAATAAAAGTTTATTTCTTATTTACTAATAATATAAAATGTGCTAGAGAAGGATATTATACTTGGTAAAGTGAAGGGTCAGTGAAAAAGAGGAAGGCACCCACTGAGATGGATTGGTACAGTGACAGCAACGATGGCCTCAAGCATAGCAACACTTGTGAGCATGTAGCAGAACCTGACAGTGTTTTGAGCTGTTGTGTATAGGGTAGCTATGAGTCAGAACTGACTCAATGGCATCTAACAACAGCAACACTACAAAACAGATGCCTCTGATTGACAGGAAGCTCTCCATCATTCAGAGACCCAACTTCTTCCATCTTCTAGCCACACTGTTCCCCAGGATCTTGTCTGCAAATGGCAGAAGAGGATTGCTGCATACATGGCCCCACACAGATGCAAAGGAGAGCTAGAAAGTGTAGACTCTGATTAGACAGCCACTTCCTAGGGACTGCTGTATCTTACGGATATAGAAGCATGAGATTGGGTGGTAGCTGAGTCAAAAAAAATATGGCACCAAGTCATACCTCCCATACCCCTCTACTCAAGTGGGCCTAATAATTTATTGCAACTCACACACCATACTAAAAGTTAAAGGGTTTATTAGGGAAGTTAATAGATTACAATTTGGTGTCAGAAATGCTCAGGAAATAGTTTTTCCAGTCATCTTCTGACAGATGCCCACAGAACATACCACTTGAGCATAAGTCTCAGCCTTAAGATACTTAGCTCTAACTCAGCAAATCTGTCTCCCCCTGGAGGCACCCCATTCTTCAAGAAAGCTTACTGCTCAAAGTCAATCAGCTTTATTTGCTCCATGGGCTGGGAAGTCTACTGCTCTGTCTCTTGCTCTGGTTCTTGGTTCTATTGCTGCTGCTCCTCTGCCACTCCTCTGATGTACAGCTTCTGGTCCCTGGTCGAGGAAGTTCAATGCTCAGGGATCTCAGGGTCTAAAGGGCAAGCTCCAATTCTAGCTTTTCTTCTTTGATGGTAGTGAAACCCCCCCTTCAGCTACTGAGATGACTTCTTTTAAACCATGCTAGAATTTTGAGTTCTTACAACCATAATCCTACCATCCTATCTGTATCTTCTCCCACCTTCTCTTACCCAGACCCAGCAAAGCAGAATCATTGTTTGATGTGAGTTACAGACTATGAGATAATTCACTACACCACACATAGCCCTCTTTCATGTATAAATGATCTCATTTAATATTCACAGTAGCCCTATGAAGGAGGTACTGTTATACTCATTAAATAGATAAGAAAAGCGAGGCTTATGCCTGTCTAAAGACAATATAGTTCTGATTTGGGATTTACACTCAAGTTCACCTATAGTCTCTGTTCTTATCCATTATAGAGCAGAGATTTGTAAGAAAAGGTGAGTATTTTCCATTGGGGATATTTGGCAATATCTGGAGCCATTTTTTATTGGTAATTGTGGAGGTACTACTGGCATATTGTGCATAGAGGTGGGGGATGCTGCTGAACATCCTACAATGCCCATGAGAGCTGGTTCCCTGCTCCACATCACCCAGCAATATGCACATCAAGAAATATTCATCCCCAAAGTCAACAGTGCCAATACTGCGAAATCCTGCACTAGATGGCCCATTATACATGATGGATAAAGGTGGAGGCTAGACATGGTTAGAAAAGATTAGGAGTACAAGCAACTGCTATGAGTAAGATAAGCATTAGTTTGAAAGGATGTAAAAGATTGGTGAAGAGCAGAGAGGTGTCGGATGTTGTTGAACAAGAGAGGCGGTAGTTGGTCCTAGTATTTTCTATCAGCTACCTGCAGTTTCTGCTACTTTGTAAAATTTTAATGTTGTATTGTCAATTATGTGATAGTTTACATGGGAGAACATTAGCTTTACATTCATCCTATCATATTTCATTTTATTGCCATGGTTACAATCCCCTCCATGCATCATCAACCAACCACAGGGTAGACCCTGCAAGCCTGTCCTCCGGTCGTCAGCACACAACCCCGCCCCCTCTCTGTAGTATTTTTTGAGTAGTGATAGAATAGTATTTTTAAAGAAATAAATAATCTGTACTTTTCAGCATGAAAATGTTACCCTTTAAATAATTTACTTCTCTCCTTAGGGAGACAAGACTCGTCCTTTTATTACATCCAGTCCTACAAATGGGGCCAAATCTATTGCAGAAGGCTGGGTCTCTGACAACCCATATGATACCCATTTTGGTGATGTACACTATTACAACTACATTGGTGATTGCTGGAATTGGAAAAATTTCCCTAAAGCTCGATTTGTATCTGAATATGGATATCAGTCCTGGCCTTCCTTGAGTACACTGGAAAAGGTAAGCCATCTTGATTTTATAACTTCTCCTCATCTTTCTTCTGTCTTTGTTTCCTCTTTCTAGTGTTTCTAATTTTCTGCATGATTTTTCACTCCCTCTGTTCCTAAATACTTCAATTTCATAATTTAGTTTCAGAGTTGTGTATGTGCTGAGATATAATTTATATACCATACAATTTGCCTATTGAAGTTTACAATTCAGTGGTTATTAGTATATTCATAAAGTTCTGCAAACATCGCTACAATCCAATTTTAGAACATTTTATCACTTTTCAAAAGAAACCCTATGCCCTTTAGCAGGCATACCCCCATTTTCTTCTCCCCCCACAACTCTCACACCACCAATCCATCCTTAGGCAACCACTATTCTCCTTTCTTTCTTTATGTATTTGCCTATTCTGGACATTTCATATAAAGGTAATGATATGATATGTAGTCTTTTGGGACTAGTTTCTTTCACTTAGCATCATCTTTTCAGTATTCATCAGGGTGGTAACATATATCCATGGTTCATTCTTTGTATTGCCAAATAATACCACATTGTATGGATTTCACTCATTTTATTTATCTATTCATCATTTGTTGGACATTTGGGTAATTTCTACTTTTTGGCTATTGTGAATAATGCTGCTCTGAACATTCAGGGACATATGTTTTCGTTACTTATGGGTATATATACAGAGGAATAGAATTGCTGGATCATATGGTAACTCTATGTTTAACTTTTTGAAAAACTGCCAAACTGCTTTCCGCAGCAGCTGCACCATTTTACATTCCCACCAGCAATGTATGAAGGTTCTAATTTCTCTCTTATCTCTTCAGTACTTTGTATTTTCCATCTTTTTTATTATCTAGTTGATGTGAAGTGGTATCTTCTGTGGTTTTCATTTGTATTTCTCTAATGTAAGGAATTTAATGTATTTTCATGGGCTTCTTGGCTATTTATTTTCTTTGGAAAAATATCTGCTCAGATCTTTTTACCATTTAAAAATTGGGGTATTTGTATTGTTATTGTTATAAGGGAAATTTTAATATTCAGGATACAAGTACTTAATCAAATATATGATTTGTAAATTTTCTGTGTTGTGTGGATTGCCGTTTTACTTCCTTAATTGTGTCAGTTAAAGCACAATGTTTTGCATTTTCATTTAATCCCAATTTATCAATCTTTTTTCTCTTATGATTTTGGTATTATATCTAAGGAATTACTGCCTATCCCAAGATCACAAATATTTACTCCGATGTTTTCTTTAAGTATTTAATAGTTTTAACTCCTATTTAGATCTATTATCTGCTTTGTGCTAATTTTTATGTATGGTGAGATTTAAGGGTCTATGAGTCTTCTGGCTATGGTCTTGTGACTGCAAATAAGGTTGATGCTATGCAGATACAGTTCTTGTGGCCCACCAAGGGGATTGGACAACTTTCCTATAGTGGAACTCCTTGTGGAGATTGGATCTTGCAAATAAGGTATATAGAAACGTAATAAGGAGATTGGTTAGTTTTGCCATCCTTCTAGACTTAATGGGAGCCAAGTCCAAAAGTGTAAAGGAGAGACCTCATTGCCATCAAGAAGAAGAGCAAATAGAAAAATGAATCTTAGAGCTGGAGTCCCTGTGCTGAGAAATCCCTAGACCCAGGAGACAGAGAGAGAGCAGTAACACCAGAGATGGAGAGAAGTGGCAGGAAAACAGCAGCACAGAACCTGGAGACAGGCACGAGGTGGTGCAGTGGGCTTTGGGCAGGAGGCTTGCTGATATAGTGAAGTGTCTCCAGGAACTTATTGGTGGAACTAAAGAGATTTGTAACACTTGTCAGAGTAGGACAGAGGATAGGCTAAAAAGAAACTGTCTAGATCAAACTATATCCTGAGTTGTTCCTGTTATTTCTAAATTGATCTTGATTCTAAATTGCAACCTGTTACTTCCATAATATGGAGTCCTTGTGTGGCACTATAGGATAAGCATTGGACCACATGGTTGCTTTGAACCACAAAAGCAGTGGTTCAAACACACTAGCTGCCTCTTGGAAACACTATACAGACTTGTTATGATTCAGAACCATCTTGACAGCACCTAACAACAACAATAAATCCATACCATGAGTATGCTATGTGAATTCTGTGTGGCCATTTCAATAAATTCTTGAAGCCAGCAGAGAAGTAGAGAGTGCCGTTGGATGGATGGCTGGTGTTAGAATTGGTAACAAGGTTGGAGAGTGGAGGTATGTCTACCCTTCACCTCATAAGAATTAGCCTTAGGCTGATGCTGAACTGGATTCTGTCATCTCCCTGAACTTAGATGAGATCTGATGCTGTCACACCCAGTTTACAGTGTGCAAATTCATTCATAAGGAGCTCTGGTAGCGTAGTGGCTATGAATCGGGCTGCGAACCTCAGGGACAGCAGTTTGAAACTACCAGCTGTTCTGTGGGAGAAAGATGAGGCTTTCTGATCCCGTAAAGATTTGCAGCCTCGGAAACCCTGTATAGGGTCGCTATGAGTCAGAACCGACTCCACAGCACATAACAACAACAACAACAACAAATTCATGCATTGGTGTTGTATATCCAATTATCCCAGCACAATTTGTAGGGAAGAATATTCTCTCTTTATTGAATTCTTTTGGCACCTTTGTTGAAAATCAACTGACTATATAAATGGCAGCACTTGTTTTTAGACTGTCATTCTATTCCATTGACCTGTATGTCTAATTTTAAGCCAGTACACACTGTTTTATTACTATAGTTTACAATAAGTTTTGAAATTAGTAGGTGTGAGCCAGAAATATTCAGGATATAATCTGTCTACAGAGAAAGACAGCCTCTTCTCTGTAAGGCCTACAGGCAGACATCTCTCTGGCGCTGCTTGGGTAATGTTGCAAAGCTCTTTTACCACTGCTGATAAATGTCCAAAGGGCACTCTACTCCACTGTAAGCCTCAGCTCAAAGGCATTTGGCTCTAGCTCTGTGGGTCAGCAAACATAGTACCCCAATTAACTGCCTGAAGGAACCCATTCTGCAAGTGAATATCCTACCCAAAGGCACTCAGTTTTACTTGCTCCAGTGGCCTGGGAAGCCCACCGCTTTGTCTGTTGCTCTAACTCTTGGTTCTGTTCCTCTGCCACTTCTTTGCTATGTCAATGTCACAGGTTTTTGTCCCTAGATAGAGGAGGTTTAATGTGCAGGGAGGTTGGGGTCAAAAGGACATCCTTCTCTCCTGGCTCTCCCTCCTGCTTCTGAGATGACTCATTTTATACCCACATGAGAGTTCCAAGTTTTTGCAATGAGCCCTGGTAACAGTGACTCATAACTGAATCATATAATCCAATCCCATCTTCTCTCACCTTCTCTTACTCATGTTGTTGTTTTTAGGTACCATCAAGTTGATACCTACTTATAGCAACCCTATGTACAACAGAATGAAACACTGCCCCGTCCTGGGCCAACCTCACAATTGTTGCCATGCTAACCCATTGATGCTGCCACTTTGCCAATCCATCTCGTTGGGGTTCTTTCACTTTTTCTCTGACCCTCCACTTTAACAAACATGAGCTCTTTCTCCAGTGACTGGTCCCTCCTGACAATTTGTCCAAAGTATGAAAGACAAAGTTTGACCATCCTGGCCTCCAAGGAACACTCCGCTACACTTCTTCCAACACAGATCTATTGGTTTTTTTGGCAGCCCATGACACTTTCAATATTCTCCTCCAACACCATAACTCAAAAGCATCAATTCTTCTATGGTCTTCCTTATTCACTATCCAGCTTTTGCAAGCATATGAGGTTATTGAACATACCATGGGTTAGGTCTGGCACACCTTAGTCCTCTAGCTGACATCTTTGCTCTTCAACACTTAAAAAGATCTTGTGCAGCAGATTTGCCTAATGCAATATTCATCAGGAAAAAAGTTGTTTCTTGGCAGTTACAAATATTTTGGATAGAAGAGTAATGTGAAAATGTGCTGCACTCACCTTTTATTAGTTTAAGGATGTCCCCTTCTATCCCTAGTTTGTGGAGTGTTTTTATCTATCTTAGCGTGTTGAGTATTTGTATCATGAAAGGATGCTGATTTTGTCAGTGGCTTTTTCTTTGTCTATTGAAGTGGTCATGCTGTTTTTGTCTTTCCCATCACTTGTTTAAACTAACAATAACACTTTTTAAGACATGTTCAAAATCTTCCTCAGTCTCACATCCTAAATGCAACAGTTTTTATTTCTACACATTGGAAATTATTTTGTATTTCTAACTTTAATAAAGTCACAATGCTAATTATATCACCTTTAAAAATTATTTTACCCAATTTGTGGAAATGATTTATTTTTTGGGGGGGGATAGTCAACAGTAACTTACACACCTCAACTTGGACTGAGGCTCAGGAGGAAACTGAGGAACTGGAGGGTGGAGGTCTCTCACTGTTCCTTAGGTAATAGGTAGCGTGTCTGGATTCAAACTTAATGCGTTATTCTAGAGCAGATGCTTTTCCTTTCCCTACACGTCAGAAATGTTTTTTTTCTTAAATCTGTGTGTTTCTATTCATCTCATGAAAATAATGGAATTGTCATATTTTTTGACTCACCTGATGATATTAAAAAATATTGAATACTATATTTTAAGATAGGGAAAGGTGATGAAAAATTCTGCTCATTATGAACCATCTGTTATTTCTTGATTGAGTCATCCCTCCTTTCTAGACACACTACTGACTTGAGGACTTGAATAAGTAATTAGGAATAGAAAAGAAACCAAAAGAATAATGTTACATAAAACTTTAGATATTTTATTTAGGGCTTTCTTCAGTAATTCAGCAAATATATTTAAAGATATTATTCCACATTTTTGTTGTTGTTGTTAAGTGCTGTTGAGTTGGTTCTGACTCATAGCGACCCTGTCTAGGGTTTCTGAGGAGTGGTTGGTGTACTTGAACCACTGACCCTGAGGTTCCAAGCAGTCCAGTGCATTTAACCCTCAGCACTACACCAGGACTCCACATTGGTTTCACA